AACAATTTGGAATGCAAATTTCCAGCCCTATAAAGACTTGAGACCCTATAAAATTCTGCCTTCCGTTAGGACTACTACGTCAGTGTAGCTAACAGGGCAGTTTCCAAAGTGTGTGCAGACAGACATCCTGTGATAGGCTCAGCCCACACTGCCTTCCCTAGGGATTCACAGCATAACAGCCCAGTTGTTCATTTTGGGCAAAAAATAATGATTTACTTTTGTCCCTATTGACCCCTCTGGAGTAGCACCATTCTTGTCAATTAGGTTTCTGTTTAATGACCTGAGAGAAAAGTTTAAGGTATGTGGCCTAAAGGGTCCCCACAGGTTGAAAATGTTTGAGAGCTTGAACTGATGTTTAAGAAAATGTAGAACAATCACAAACATGTCCTTCATGTTTAAAATAAGGATAATGTTTTACCTTCTGTTTTTATGGGGGAAAGATCATAAAAATACAAGCAGATTTTTGCTGAATATGAGATGTAAACATTTTCTACACAAGTATTACTGGTAGGCTCTTCAACCTACAGCAGACAGATGTTCAAACTCTCTTCAGTGAGCTTTCAAAGATCTTTACCTTTGGGAAAGATAACCACCCTCTAGTTAGCCTGAAAATGAATGCAGGAATTTGGCATTTGTGTGTAAATGAGTGCGTGCATGTATATGTCCACACCTGTTTACCATGTGTTAAGCTGTAAGATTTGGGAGGTGTTCATTAAAGCAGCTGGTAAATATCACACTGTCAGCATTACCCTAAATGCCTTTGGCCTTTGATGAAACCCAGCTACTAGGGTTTCACTTACCTTTTTTATTGTGCCACATCCATCAAGAGGGATAGAAAATTCCACCACATTTGATATTCTGGGTCTGCAAGTTGAGTTGTTTAGTTGTAAGCTATTCTCACTGTATTCAAGTGATGCCAGGTAGGATTTACTTATGATAGCTCTCATCCTGTCAGAGAAGCAAGTTAAAGATGCTGTCCAAAAAAAAAAAAAGGGATGTTTATGTCAGCTAAGAACTGTGGATCCTGAAATCTGTGTGTGCAGAAGAATAAACAAAAACTTAAAACCCATTTGGCCCTGAACCATAATCAGAAGCTTGAGATAGCAGAGCAGTTAATCCGCCTTCTACAATGCTCAATGAATGACATTGTTTGCAGCTAGAACCTCTAAATCTGTTATTTTCAATTGTGTCTTTGCAGACGCTAAAGGAAACAATGCATGTTTTTTGTGGAAATCTTTTTCAGGGTTAATGAAATTATCAATTCCCTCTCATATTAAGCAATGCACAGAACTGATTCTCAAGCTTCAGATTATGAATATGTTCCAACATATATATGACCAACTTGCAAATAAGGATCAATAGCCATAGGTAGGCTGAGACTTAAGGAGCAATGTCTATATATACAATCTTCAGAGAGCTCAAATGAGCTCAGAAAAAGGACCTACTAGTATTGACGTTTTCTGCATAAATTGAAGTGTAGGAAGCAGAAAATCCCCGGTAGGAGTTGGCGTAATCTGTAGACAGCACGACGGTCAAGGAGTCTGACGAGGATTCGAAGGTGGGCCTCACGCGACCACACACCTGTCCAAGGAGGCCCGAGGTGGTGGAGGAGCCATCATAGACAGCCACAAAATCAAATCTGCAGTGTTCATCCACTTCTAGGCTACAGAAGTAGGACCTCTGGTGAAAAGCTTTCCAAACCAAGTGTATTTTCTATGATCACAACAATCCCAGGTTTAAATGGTTAAGATTTTTCTATACAATGATATCTCAGGTTTACGATGACCAACCTGGGGCATATCTAGTCCCTGATGTGACCTCAGAATCTTCAGAAATAGAGTCAACTTAGTTCAGTGCAATTGTATTGGTGTTTTTGCTATATATCAATTCTTTGAAAAGTGCCCATCTATGCAGAGGGGGTTCGTGTGATAACTTCCCTTCCCCAAGCCCCATTTTGCCACATGAGTTCACTGCACTTACTCCAAGACAAATGGACCACAGTACTTACAAAATCTCTTTGAAGTTTAGTTTTATCTTGTAACCTTTCTCCACTTGTATGTGCCACACACAATAGGCCAGCTCAGGATGTGGCCTTGGGTAGTTGGGGCTGGTAAAGGAGCCTTCCAAAGTGTGCAGGTAACCACCGCAGTCTGGAATAGCTGAAAGAGATGTGAGGGGTGACCGTGAATGTAAATCAAGACAGAGATTTCTTTTAGTTTCTATGTTGTGCATTGAGCTATGTAAGTCTCCTCTGAACTTTATTCCATCCCCCTCTTTCAAATTGATAGCATACTGAGATTTTTATTCTTTATCACTGGATTTTCTGCCCATTGATGCAGGGCAGAGAGTGAATCTTTATACTGCTGCAAAATGAAGAATATTAAGTCTCACTGGAATGATCTGTCCCAGCTTTAGAGACTCTCCATTAGCTGACCTGAGCCACAGAAAATAAAATCGGACTCTGAGGTTTATCACTTGAGGCTCCTCCCCCCTTAGACCCAGCCTAGCCTTACAGCCTCTTGGGCCGCTACCACGGGACCTGCCCTCCCAGCCTGCCCTCTCTCTCCAGGCCGCTGCCCAGGCTCTTGGTCCCAGCACACACGCCTCCTTCTCCACTGATCCCCACCTCTCCCTGTGCTGCACCCTCCAGAGCTCAACTCAGATGCAGCCTCGCGAGGCCGCCCTTGGTCCCTCCCTTCCCCGGAAGCAAGCAAGCAGCTGGACAAGCAACATGTGAAGAAACCACACTGAAGGCTCTTTTGCGGGGGAAGTAAAATGGTTTAGCTTGGCTAAAGCATAGGACGCCTGTGAGGCAGTGGCTAAACCTAAGGCTTGGAAGGTGGCCTGGGTCCAGCTTTGGAAAACCTTGACGGCTCCACTCTGGAGATTTGTTAGCACCAAGGAATCTGTGGTTTAAGTAGGAAAATGACATGCTCCACACAATATAAGTAGGTCATGGGGAAGACAACTAATGACTGACTGTATAGCATCTTGCTACGCTGATGGATAGTGACTGCAATGAGGTGGGCGGGGGAGGAGGTCTTGATAATATGGGTGAATGTTGAAACCACAATGTTGCTCATGTGAAACTTTTGTAAGATTGTATATCCCTGATATCTTAGTTTTTAAAAAATTACTGTATTATCCAAAAAAACAACAAAAAAGAAAACGGCATGCTTAGCTCTGGACATTGGGAAGCAAACCAGAATAGAGCTTTGCCCATGAACTCACTTGCAGAATTTCTTGGCATTCTGCTTTGGGCTGCAATGGAATCTAGGTGCAGTGAATGCAGAACCACGTAACATCTGACTGCCTGGCAAATGAGGTCAGTGTTTCTCATCGTTTGCCCTCCAATCCGTGTCAGAATCACCTGGGGAACTTCCTGAATGTGAAGGCCCTGGAGCCCCAGCGCAGATCTAATGGATCAGACCACGGGGAGGGGCGGTCCCAGAAGGGGCATTTCAAAAGCTCTCAGGGTTATTATTAAACAGGCTGAGCCTGCAGGGTCTGCTTTGGTCTCTAATACAGTAGACGCCACCCTGTAGCCAGGTGCTCAGCCCCACCCATCTGCCTCACCTGGGAGCTGGTTAGAAAGGCGAATTCATGGGCTCCACCCCAGATACCGAACCCAAATCTCTCGGTGGGGCCCAGGAATCCGATCCCCAAGCTCTCCGGGTGACTCTCGTGGGCATTTGTGATAAAGCGCCACTGCTTCAATAAATGCCTGTCTCTGGAGAAACAGACTGACTCAAGGTCCCAACGACCCAGGCTTGGGGGTGTAACTGCTGCGCGTGCAGGCCGTGTGCACAGAGGGTGTCTACAGGCGGACTTGCAGGTGCCAGAAGAGAAGAAGTAGTAGAAGATGAAGACACTTCTTGGAATTCTTGCGGAGTCGGTGACTATCTGAACTGTCAGTGTGTTGGACGACGATTCGAACACAGGGACGTAGTCATTTGCGCTGCAGACTCTCCCCAGCAGAGACGCCTTGGTGGAGTTTCCATTAAACACTTCAATGTTTTCACTTTCACAACCTCCATCTGGATCAAGCCTGTGGACAGAACGCACCTGTGGTTAGAGAGGCGCCACCAGCAAAGGGGCTTCCCAGACTGGAGGCAACTGATTGCATTGGCATCCCTATTTACAAAGTGGCCGCACATCTCTTTTCCTGTCTGTCTCCAAGTCCGCCCCTCCCAGGCCCCTCCCGCAGCGTCACACCCCAGACCCGTCAGTCTCACCGGCTCTGGGAGCCGAGCTGCTCTGCCATGGTCTCTAGCAAGTAGGTGGGGACGAGGGGCCTGGACCCCGGGACCCCTTTCCTCCCTCCTTCCATCCCTCCTGTTCCCCGTGCCCATGTGACTGTTTGCTGTGGCACCTTCTCATGTAGACTTGAGCCCCTTTGACACTGGAAACCCAAGCCTGTTGAAAGGTGAAGCAGCTCTTCCTCCACCAACCCCTCCCTCGATGTAAAGCTAATTCAGCGTCTTCTAGTGCCCCTCCTGTCCTCGCATCCCCACCTCCTCAGGCAGCCCAGGTTTGTTTTCTGACAGTGTTTCTCCAAATGCCCTCAGAGGACATGTTTCCAGGATGACTTAGAGCGAGAACACAGGGGTAGACAAACCTGAATTCTTCCTTGTTAGGTACTGACTGCTCTGTAACTTTGGGTAAGTGATTTAACCTTGCTTAATCTGTTTTCCAGTGTGTGAAGTGCTAATAGCGCGGCTCACTCTACACCATGGCATGAGGCAGCTGGCACAGGCCTGGGGCACAGGAGGCGTGCAGGGAATGTGAAATGTTAACCTTCCCTTCCTTGTTCTTCCCATACTTCCCTTCTCCCCTCCTCTCTTTTTACACAGCAAGAAAAGCGTATATTTTTCCTGATAGCTCCACCATTCCAGGAAATTCAAAGTACCTCTTCTCTTTTGTTTCTTTGAGGGGTGGAGGAAAGCCAATTCCCACTTCCGTGGTGTAGGGCCCTGATTCTCAAAGGGTGGCACCTCGGCCCACAGCATCAGTGTCACCTGGGAACATGGTACCTGTGTCAGTTCTCAGGCCCCACCCACCCCACCTGAATCAGAGAATCTGGGTACAGCGCCCAGTGATTGTGCTTTACCAAACCCTCCAGGGTCCTCTGCACTCTCTCCAGTCTTAGAACCACTGGGATAGCGTTTGGACTCTGGAGCCAGGGTGCTTGGATTTAATTACTCTCCCACATTGATTAATTTGCCACTTTGGGCACATTAAGCGACTTCTCTGGATTTTCTTAACCAGTGAGTGGGAATTAGATTGCCTCTACCCAGAAGGCCGTTGAGAGGATTACCTGGGAACGTTCTCATGAAGCCCTGAGAGTCTTATAATGCAGCAGCCCATTCTTAGCTTAGTCTCACACTACCACCACCACTTACCAAAAAAGACTGTGAGTGTATATGTATTTCAAAATTAAAAGTTAAAAAAAAATGAGAAACATTGATGCTTGGATCTCATCACCAGAACTGTGAGCTAATCGCCTGGGGTGCAGCCTGAGAACCCGCGTTTGTGGAAGCTCCCCTGATGATTCTAAGGCACAACAGAGTTTCAAACCACAAGTTTAGTGTTTTAGGGCCCAGAATCTGGAACTAGACTAGCCGGGTACAAACCCTGGTTATTCCACTGACTCGTATGATCTGTGTCAAGTTCTTGACTTTCCTGTGCCTGTAATACTTAGCTCAGCCTCAAAGTATCTCTGAGACCAGGGCCAAGGGCGCAGTCGTCAGTCAGTGACTATCAGCCATTATCATCACCATCCTGGTGATGGGTGTTACCGCCTCTAGGAGTAGCCGACTGCTTTCCACAGAGACTCCCTAGTGTGACCAGCAAGTTCAACCACCCTCATTAGGAACTGAAGCCTCTACTTACTGTAAGTAGGAAAAGATGATTCTGATACTTTTGTTTTCTGGGCTTTCCACAGTCCAGGTGCAGTTGTCTTTGGGATTGAGTTGCAGGATCAGAGCTTTATGGTTCTCGGTCTGGCTGATACCTCCCAGGTTGGCCCGACAGCTTGATTTGCCTGTAGAGACCACAGCTGGCACTGAGGCAAGTCAGCAGCCCCTGCCCTCCTCCTCCAGGGACTGGGACTCGACCTCTTACATGTAATATCCATATAACATGCAGGTAATTGTGAAGGGTATTTAGCTCACTCTAAAGTAAGCCACCAGCAATTAATTCCCCCTCTTGGAGCCCTTGGGGAGAAAGTATTTATGATCTCTCTACCTATGGTGCATAAAAGAATAAGTACATTAAGGTCTAAAGAAAGATGGCTTTAAGAATAAGCTTTATATCTATAATATATAAAGAACTCTTAAAAGTCAGTAATTAAAAGACAACCCAATTGAAAATGTTTGTAGGACCAAAATAGATATTTCTCCAAAAAAGACTGGCCAATAAACACATGAAAACATACTCAACATCACTAGTCATTAAGGAAATGCAAATCAAAACCACAATGAGATACCACTTCATACCAAATAGAATGTAAAGCAAAAACTAGAATCAAAAATAGAAAATAACAAGTGTTAGCAAGGTAGAGAAGCTGGAACCCTCCTACACTGCTTATGGGAATGTAAAATGGGACAGCTGCTGGGAAAACAGTCTGGCACTTCCTCAAAAGATTAAACATGGAGTTAGCATAACCTAGAAATTCTACTTCTAGACAAATCCTCAGAGGAAATAAAACATAGGTTCACATAAAAACTTGTACACTGATGTTCACAGTAGCACTAGTCAAAGTCACCAAAGAGTGGAATCAACCCAAATGTCTATCAACCAATGAATAAATAAAATACGATATCCACACAATGGACTATTACTCAGCGATAAAAAGGAATGAGGTACTGATATGTGGTACAGCATAGATGAAACTTGTAAACATTATACTGTGTGACAGACCACATATTGCATGATTTCATTTATATGAAATGTCCAGAATAGGTAAATCTAGAGATACAGAAAGTAGATTAGTGGTGGCCTTGGGCTGGAGGCCCTGGGCAAATGGAGAGTACCTGCTAATGGGCACAGAGTTTCTTTTTTGGGGGGATGAAAATATTCTCAGGTAGTAATGATGGTTGTTCAATTCTGGGTATATTCCCAGAAACACCAAATTATACATTTTTGAAGGGTGAATTTTATAGAGTGTGAATTATACCTCAACAAAGCTGGTACTAAAGAAGAGGAGAACAACGAGAAGGAGCAGCAGCAGCTATGACTGAATGTACTGAACAAAATCCAATACTTTGTAATAGAATCTAGTGATTAAAAACTCCACTTGGAAACAAAGCTTTTCATTTTCTTTTTCATCTGTGACTATGGGATGTCCTTATAAAAAATGTCTATTTTTCCCTAACAATAACTAATAATATGTTTATTAGTAGAAAGAATAAAAGCCAGAAAGTAAAGATGAGGAAAAAAAGTATAATCCATCCACCCAGGAACAATCATCATTAAAAACTTCTTTAAATACTTCTTAAATGTTCAAATGCAAATATTTTAAACATAAACACCATCATGTTATACAAATTTCAGGTGTTATTTTATTTTCCTCCTAAAGTAGATCTCGGGCATCTTTCTTACAGTTCATTCCTATTTTTAAGAAGTTGTTAAAGAGTATCCCCATTTATGAATTTACCTACATAACTTACAAAATAAATGATGGAAATTTACATTGCTTTTTACAATTATATAAGTGCACAGTACATATATCTTTGTGCACTTTTATGATTATTTACTAAATATGAATTCTTAGAGTGAAATTAGTTTGTAAAATTCTTTATGCTTTTATATTTTTTATATGTTATGCTTCATTCATCCACTCAACAAATACTCACTAGCTCCCATTCTAGAGCCTGGGCCTGCAGAAGTGGACATGAGAAACACAGTCCCTGCTCTTGTGAACTTATTCTCTAAGTGGGGAAGACAGACAACACAAAAATATATTGTCATATAAGCCTGAAAAAACTAGTACCAATTCGAAATCTCATCAAGAGCATATGAGGAAATACTCTCTGTATTAGGGCTAACAACAGATATTAGAACTTTAGCAGCTTTTGGCAGAGGACTCTTGAAAGGAGGTCTCCCTACTTCAACTGAAAAAATGGTTCACTTTCTTACCTTCTGACTCGGTCGAGTTCAGCTCTGCCAAACATGACACAATTAAAAGGGCCAAAGGGATGAGCCTTCTCACGGCCTCCATCTTTGTAAGGGGAGGACAGCCCCTTAGCGGGTGGCAGGCTTTTATATTTCCCTGTGTTTCATAATTAATCTGGGTTCATAAGCTTCCTGGTGACCTCCAGGGAAATGTGTCCATTTGACTATGTGAGTGGTAGATTTTACATGGGAATATAGCAGCTGGGGGACTGGTGTATTATCAGCAACCCCAAACTGTATTTGTTCTCTTCAACTCATTGCTGGAAAGTTCACAGGAAGTTCCAGTTAAAGCTCCTCACAGGGGATCTCCAGCCCTGGGAGCACAGGAGGCACTGAGTAATCCCTCTTGGCACTGACCTGGAGTTGAGAATTTGCCCTGTCCTTTGTTCAGATCATGAAGGGGGTACCATCAGTGATAAAAATCTTCACTGCTCTTACCCCAAAATTAAAGCCTTTCAGAGTCCAAAGGACCAGTTTGGCACCTGGGCAAAATCTGGGTCCAGGTCGGCCACTCTGAGGCCTGCCAGGGTGCTGACCCCTGAGGGAGGGAGAAGGTGGGAAAAAGAAAGTTCGGGTCTAGGTTCAGCTTCCAGGAATTTCTAACTGGTTCTGACCAGAGAGCTCAGTGTAGGTGAATGTAAGGCCCTCGGCACTGTTTCCCAGGTGAGAGAAAGAAATCCTGGTGTCCAGGGTGAGACCAGTGCTGCAGTGGCAAGGCCAGGGCCTGTGATGTTAGGAAACTATGCTCATGAGGCGCTGGTATGTGAGATGTCCTCTTCATTCATTCATTCACTCAACAAATACTCACTAGCTCCCATTCTAGAACCTGGGCCTGCAGAAGTGGACATGAGAAACACAGTCCCTGCTCTTGGGAAACTTATTCACTATGTGGGGAAGACAGACAACACACAAAAATATATTACAAATAGAGGTGCTATGAGTATAATGATAATGAAACAGGGTTGTGGGTTCAAGGGTAACAGTCTTGGCAGGGATGCAACATTAGGGTGGGAAGAAAGGCATCTTGAAAAGATGAACTTTGAGTAGACAAGAAAGAAAGGAGCATTCATGTGAGATCCGGGCTTGGGGAATGCATTTCCAGGCAAAAAAGAATGCAAAGGCCCTGAGGCAGAACCGACTGGACCCTGGAAGTCTGGTAAGTGCAGTAGTGTAAGAGGGAGGGAGGTGGGAAGAAAGGTCAGAAGAAGCAGGTAGTGGTCAACTGGTGAAGGACTTGTAGGTCAGATTAGTAGGAGTCTAGATTTTATTCTAGGTTCAATTGGAACTTTTTGAGCAGGAAAATAATTACTGATTTTTTTCAAGCAGCTTTCTAGCAGCTCTGTGGAAGTAAAGGTAGGGGTCGACTGGATCTTGTAGGATAAAACCCTTCATGATTGTGCTTAACCTTTCTGTGTTGTTCCAACTATCTGCAGGCCACAAACCCTTACCCTGGCTCTAGACACTGGGGGCCCTGGGCAGTGCAGTGACCCAGGGAGAAGTATTCGTAGTTGAGCCCCTGGACAGGTGTCTGGCCCACACCAGTGCTGCAGTGGCAAGGCCAGCACCTGTGACATCGGGAAGTTGTGCACATGAGGTGCTTGGACACTCACCAATGTTCCTGGCACAGCTTCATTCAGTTCCTGCCTGCTCGGAGACTTCTGGGGTTGGCCAAGTACCAGGCGGGGACTGGGTGTCCTAGTGTGAGAGCAAGCAGAGGGCATGCATGTGTGGTGGGAAAACTTCTGGTCACTAAGGGCCACTCACCCTCAGCTGTGTCCACAGTTTCCTGCTCCTACCCCACCCCCAGGCTTTCTTACTGAAATCCCCCTCCCTCCCTCCTGTGGACATGAGCTCCCAGTGCCCAAAACCATCCCCATGGACTGTGAGAGCTTCGTTGTCACTGCTCTGAGAGGGGGGCTAACAGAGAAGAGGGAGGAAGCCTGGGTTAGCAGTTGGAAGACATGCCTGGTTCAGGCCACTGACAACTTACCAGGAGATCACAGGGGCCAGGATGTGTGGGGTTGGCATACCTTACCTTACTCAATCCTATCACTTATGCATTTTATATCAAGGAGACTGAGGCTCAGAGAAGTTAAGAAACTTTCCCAGTGGCACACAGCTCCTGAAAGGCAGGGCTGCATTTGAACCAAGTCTGTCACGCTCTAAAGCCCATGTGTCACCCTGTCCCTACTGCCTACCAGAGGGTGACTCAAAGAGCCCTTGCCCCCCCTCTGCCTCCCTCTCGGACCCTGTGATGCCTGAACTTCAGGCTTCTCCCCATGTGTGGGACACACTGGTGCAGGGCCTTGGAGTACTAAGCACTGGGCTGCCCACTGGGTGGGCTCAGAAAGGAGTGGGACATGCTTGGGAACTCGCAGGCCACAAGGGAAAATCAAAAGACACATGAACAGCCAGGACAAGGCCAGAGCAGTAAATGCTAGGCGACGGGGAGGGATCCAGGAGCTCAAGGGCAGGTCACGTCCAGCTGGAGGGTCCCAGGGCAGGCTCCAGGGAAGAGGCAGGCCTCAATTTGCCTCTTGAAACTCATGCTGGGCCCGGAGCGTCAGCTGTCCAGGGAGTTTCTCTGCCCCACCGCTGCTCTGGGAGAACAGCTCCCACCCCCACAGCCCTTCTGGCAAATTTCCCTACCACTGAAGAGCTGACTATTCCATCAGCCAAGCCCTCTGCTGGCGTGGGGGTTGGGGGGGCTCTTCCGGAAAAGTGCTTCTACTCTGTTCACCTCTCATCCTAGCGGGTATAGCTGTTTCCATCATTTCCTATTTATCTATTGTACTCCTTTAAGTATGTAACCACCTGTTGCTAGTTAACTCTTTACATTAAATAAAATATGCAGGGCCCTCAAAGCAAGAATTCGACTGTCACAGGAAGTAAAATCGTGGTTACGGATGTGACGTCTGTGCTTAGAAAACGATTCTGGCAGCTCAGGGGAAGGGCAGGAGCGGTCAGGGCACATCTCGCAGCCTGCTGTTGGGCTGGTGGACACAGCTGGCACCAGTGGAGCACATTCCCTGCACTGTCCCAGGTGTTACATGTTTAACTCATTTATGAGATGTAGGAACTCAATGGGTAAAAATAAGGACTTAGGACAAGGATTATGTTAAATGTTAACACATTACTATAGGGATGTAAATTCACAGAATCCAACGTTGTGTTTTATGTGAATTTTTAGAACACAAGTTGTCAGAAATCACTTTGCAGTTGGGATGGGGCTAGTTCATTACATGCAGTATTTATTACCACACGGATGTTTGCCAGGCAGAGCCACAACTCGAATAAAAACTGCATGTTTGAGCTCCCCTTGCAGCAAGTGGATCGTGTGATTCAGCTCGAGACAGGATTTAAGCAGAAGCGGAATGCATGGCCTTTTCTGAGTTCCCTCCTGAGAACTGCACATGAAGGTTAGAAATCCAGCAGTCTTCTCAGGCCAGGAGGGGACTTTGTTTCAAAAGAACATCATGGGCCTGACACTGAGGAAAGCCAGCCAACCTGACTGCCTACTGCTGGGCATCTGGAACATGAGGAAAAACAAAATCTTCCTTGTTCAAGACACTGTTATTTTGAAACTTTTTGTTACAATCATACCTGATCTTAACTGATCAAGTAGTCAAGTGATTTGTTCAACTTAACATAGAAAATAAAAACTGAGCTTTCAGAAGGTTTGAAGAAAATATCTCAAGAAAAGCTTTAGATACTCCTGAATCTTTTATATCGAAAGTGTAACTTTAAATAGTGAATATTCATATTCACTGTAGTTTTGTGCTTTTTGCAATTATGGGACATGATTCGAAAGCAAAGGAAATACTCAAGTGACAGGAGATTTTAATGTCATCCAGACTACTAGAAGAATTCTTATTTTCAAGAAAATATTGTTCAAAGAAGCCTGAGAAGAGGATTGCTTGAAAATTATGGCTACTTCAGTCTGACTGGTAAGCACTGTATTGCTTAGAGGCTAATCACCAGCCTTCCAGGAGAAATGCATATTTTTACCTTATTTGTGTATAAATTAAGATCTTTCCTCTTCAACATCTCACTGAATCCTCAAAACAACCCTATGAGATGGTGGTTCCATTTTAGAAGAAAAACGGCCTTGGAGGAATTATATGTCACACGCAAGGTTGAGTGAGGTGGAATCTCATCCAGATGGGCTGACTGAGAGCTGCAGGAGCTTTAGGGGTGTTCAGGAGGGAGTGCCAGCTCCATCCTGCACCCAGTCGGGTTCCTCCAGAACCTCAGGCCTTAAGCCAGAGCTCCTCAGAGCAGGCTGAAGGCCACACGCCTTTGCATGGCCTTTGACCGTCTCCCCGTCTCAGCCTAGCTTACCTCTCCAGCTGCATCACCTCCCACTGCCTGTCCACAGCCCGCATGTGTTCACACCTCTGAACCTGGGCTGCTCCCTTTGGCTGCCGGGGCCTCCCCTCCTTCTCCTGCTCAAATGCTGCACTAATGCCTTCTCTTTGGCAGCCTCCCCTGGGGTTCTCACCTACTCCCACCTCATATTTATTCCTTCCCCTGTGTCCCCCTGCCCTTTGCACCTCTATTGAAAACCTAGAGGTTTCCAGGCTATAATTTTGCACCCTGAACAGATACCTGGCTTGAATTCAGAACCGAAACTTCTGCATCTGTGCTTTCCCTCGCTGAACCCACTATTTTAGACCCAAGAAGTGCTCAAGGAAATAGACGCTCAAAATTGTGGATTTTGTTTGCTTTTCATATTACTAAAAATGGTTTAGTTCTCAAGTATTTTTCATATCCTTTCTAACTCTATTACAGTTCTCCAGAGAAACAGAAACAAGAGGATAAACAGATATGTAAGAGATTTATTATGGGAATTGGCTCATACAATTACGGAGGTTGAAATATGCTACGATATGCCTTCTGCAAACCGGAGCACCAGGAAAAACAGTGGGGTAATTCTGTCCAAGTCTGAAGGCCTGAGAACCAGGGAAACCATTAGTATAACTCCCAGTCCAATGCCAAAGGCCTGAGAACCATGAGAGAGGGTTTGAGGTGGCAGGGGAAGCTGGTATAAGTCCCAGAGTCCGAAGGCCCAAGAAACAGGAGCTCTGATGTCTGAGGGTAGGAGAAGGATGCCCCAGCTTAAGGAGAAAGATGACTCTGCCCTTCCTCTGCCGTTTTGCTCTGTTCCGGTGCTCAACAAACCGGATGTTGATCACCCACATTGGGGAGCACAGATCTTTGCTCAGTTTACTGATGCAAGTGCTAATCTTTTCTGAAAACACCCTCACAGACACACCCAAATATAATGTTTTACCAGCAATCTGGAGATCCCTTCCCTTCGGTCAAGTTGCCCCATACAATTAACCATCACAAGTCTACCCTTTGTCCACTTGGCACCCATACGCATCTTGTTAAACTATATTTAATCTTTAAATAAAGGCAATAATAAGGTCATAATTCCATCTAACATACAACTGTCCTTTGTACAATCAAAAACACACTAATTCCTTTCCCAGAAGAAGAGGTAAATCCTTGAATGATGTTCACTCTTCTCCTGAAATCCTATAACTTAAGTAACATGATGTAAAATTAAACACTATTTACATACTAATATAAACTCACTGTATCTTCTGTCACATGTGACTTTCATGCTCTCTTGACAAGTCAGGACAGAACTGGGCCCAGCACCTGGCTCTGTGATCTTGCCCACCTTTTCCCCAAACCCAAGTCCATGGTTTTGACCACCTGACCTTCACGAACCCTCAGAAATGTTCTCTTCTTCCCCATCTCAGTCACCCTAATTCTGTGAGGCAGACGCTGTGCTCTGGCTCTGAGCTGGAAGGTCTGCAAAGACATTCAGTTGCAGGTGATTTAGGAGAGGTGGGCTTGGTTTTTTTTCATTTTACAACCTAAATAATACCTCACTGCCAACCGACATTTAATGACTAGTCAGGGGTGCTGCTGGTGATGGAGTCTGGAGGTCTAGCAGATGGAGGAATGGGCAGCAGCTGTGCTCAGAATCTGTGCGTCAACTTGGTGATGTGACCCAGTTACAGGGGCTTGTTTACTGCGGGAAATTCTTTGTAAATTCACACCCCCAAGGACTTTCATCCAGGTCAGTTCTTTTTGCCAGGCCCACCCTGTGACTCATACCGGGGTCAGGCAGTTGCAAAATTGCATCCCCAGTGGCAGAAAGCAGCCTGGATGCCAGACTACCAGAAGTAAGTCTGTGAGCCCCCTTCCTTGGCCCAAGCTCCACCTCTGCACTTCTTCCGTAGCGACTTCTGCCCTGCTCCCAGGATTCTCATCTTTCCCCTCAGACTCCTGCCCAGCCAAGGATGATGTTGTGGCTCATGACAACTGCTGTGGGAGGAGTCCAGTGTTGCCCATGGGAGAGGATCTCCCTGGGGAAACCTCAGAGCCAATGAGGCGCTCACGGGTCTGGAGGAAATAAACGTCCCGACAGGGTGCTCTCAGATGTTAGCACAATGAGTTTTGAAAACTGGTTCTGAGTCTTTGTTAAGACCCAAATGAAATGTCCATTTTTTCAGTCTCAAAGAGAGGGCTCCATGGAGTCAAACCCAAGTCGATTAAGCACCAGGAAAAAGTTTGTCTTGCTCAAGAGACATCGTGTTTCCCTTCTGCCTAGGCTGCCATGCAGCTCTGGTCTAAACGTAGCTTTCAAATGCTTTTAGTGTTTTCATCCCAAGCATCTAGCACAATGATATCCTTTCTTGTTAAATTGCTTACATGTCTTTTTATTTTCTATTCTAACTCTCCTTTATGTTGCCATATAATATTCTAAGCTACTTGGCCCAAGACCCAAAGTGGGTAATACGTAAATTTAATTACATTTATAACCACCACCAAGAAAAAACTACTGGACACAGAGAAGATTATTTTCAGCATAGACAATTTATTCAACAGTACCTAAGTATAATGATACACAGTACATAATTGAAGCACTATAGAACTTGACTTGAGTAATAAAACATTCTACCAAGACAGAAATATTGCTCATGAAGATATCTGCACCCACACAAGTCAGGGTCCCTCGTTTACATAACAGAAGCACGGTGGCAGGGAGTCCAAGTTGGCATACAAGCTACATTCTTCACAGTACTGGTAGGGATGGGACCCCGGCGTGGAGGCTGTAGCCTCAGTGAGCTTGGCAGACTCTTCCCTGGTGACGGCCACAGCAGTAGGTGCCTTGGCAGCACTTAAAAGACATACACAATGCATGGAGTTAAGAGTTTTCCTGTCAGTCCATTTGGTACAATTGCCAGGGCTGGCTGGGAAGTTTAGAGCTACAACCATCGCACAGGTGACACCAGCCCACCGCTAAAGCTGTCTGTCCCTGTCCTAATTTCCTATTTGATCCCTTCCCCTCCTAAGATTGCTAGAAATATAAAATCAGGTTACAGCAAATAACAGAGAGGGAATTGCAAGTATGGGTCATCCAGCAGGTCTGCCCAGTGTGAGAATGACCGGAGGGCACCGCCGCCAGCCGTCCCCAGGCTCTGGCCATCAGCCTTCTAGCTCACAGGCTTGACTTCCCTGCCATGGGAACACCGCTGCTTCTGATAACCCATCTCTCCCATATTTGAAGGTTGCCTTCCCCCACATTTAATTATCTCTTGTCTGATGTACACTGTCTTGTCATGTGTCCCCGGGAATAAGCTCAGCTTCCCCACAGTCTTCTAGGCGCACCCCACAGTCCCCAAGGCCATGGGCAATGAATGAGGGGACACCCCGAGAGCTCCCCGGCTCGGGCAGGAGCCCCAGGCAGCCGTCCCCTGGCGTGCCAGAGGCAGACTCACTCACCTGCCCCCCCACAGCCCCCAGGGGGCCGCGCCTGGGCGGAGGGAAGGCCCCGCCAGCGTGTGAAGCCACCCGCTGAGGGGAACTCGGTGAGGCCCGCGGACAGCAAAGCAGCTCTGACACCCAGAGCTGAGGACATTCCGCTTAGGAGCTCACAGCCCCAAGCCAGAGGGGCCCTGCCAGGATTCCACAGCCCCCGCCTTTGCCTTTTCAAACCGCCTGCTGGTCCTGACTCACCCGGGGTGTGGCTTCAGGGCAGGGAATGACCCTGCTGGAGCCGAGGGCCCAGGCATCCCACTTGAGGGGGTGTTATTCCCCCTCACGCCTCACGTTAACTCACTTCAGTGTGTTGGTCAATTTGCAGTAAAGACAGATGACAACACAGATCAGCACAAACGTAGCCATCAGTAAGCAGCCACCAATGGCGAACATAATCTTGAGGCCAAACATCTCACACAGACCTAGGCAGAAAAGGGCAGGCAAGCAGTGAATGTGGCTTCCCCCGACCAGCCACCCAGCATCCCCAACATGCTCCCTCAGTGCAGGAAGAACAAACTCCAAACCACAGAGCCTTATGTATATAAAACATGAATAAATCTTCCCAGAGAGGCCTAGGATCATAAGCTGGCCTAGGGTGGGTACAGGGTTTATTTGTAAATGAGACGGGGGGACTGAAATACAAAGTCCAGAGAGAAGGAACAGAGGAGAGAAACTGGGAAGAATCTTGTCCCTTTCACAGGCAGTAGTGTGCAGCTGCAAGTTAAAAAATAGGCCTGCCCTTCTGCAAAGGGCTTTGTTCCCAAACACCTGGGTGCCATGAACTATATTCACTGACACAGCCAGGGCTGGCCCCATGCTATTCATCAAAAAATGTTTTGTGGGAATCACTTTATTCAAGATGTCATGCTGCGAGTACTGAGAATATGCAAGCCTATTTTGTAAGTGATACATTTTAAGGAAAAAAGTTTTTACTTCTCCCACTGACAAGTGTCATACCATCTCCTGATTCAAGGAGAGTCAAGGAGCACTTGTTCCTCATTCTGCCTCCCCGGGAGACCACAGGCCTTTCTGCCATTTCCCTCCTGTATCTTCCCAGGAAATCCCATTTGTCTAGAATGAGCAATGTGCTTAATCTAAATTAAGGTAAAGTGAAGGAGGTAGAGAAGCATACACAATTTGACTGTTAAGCATACTTACAGTTAAACCATCCAGATCTGGCCAACGATTAAAAAAAAGAAACTTGACGGGACAGGATATTTTATGAAACCTGTAATTTGAGAAAGAGGAATTTTGTCAGGAGGAATTAAGACCCAAGGTTGAAGAGCTCACCACAGAAGCACAGCCACTGTCCAGCTCTAGCTTCTATGTCACAGTTGTGTGACATCAACTCCCTAGACACCAGCTGTCTTCCACAGAGTTCTGAATTCTATTCCACATGTAGGTGTATTTTAGCCCCCATCAAAACAGAAACACTATTTTGAATGACTTATTTAAGTCTTTACCTTTTCAGGTGTTATTTCCCTCATATTAATTTTCAGGATTTGACTGTTAGTCAAAAGCACATTTAAGATTTCAAATGTGAGGAGGCTAAAAATACCCTTAACACTTAAAAGTTGAATGATAGAAGAAAGACTGGTTAGACCTTATGTTTTAGCTACACATGAATAAATATGGACCCAGTTGTGGATTCCTAAGACTCAAGCATATGTTCCTTGACACTGAAAGATTTTCACATGACACAGTTAAAATAAAAGGATCACAAAAATGAAAGCAGAACAGGATAGCTGTCCTAGTTAGGTCTGTCTGATCTGAGGTACCCATGCTCAGCTAATTTAGTAGCACTGAATCCTCAAAGGAAACTCCGGGTGCAAACAGAATGGCTTAACCTTGTTTCTCCCTGCTCCTCCTCGTGAGGTGTAACTGTAACCTCTGGAAAAAACACAAAGGTCAAAGGAGAACTCTGAAAGTTGGAAAGAGAAAAGTAAACTTCTTAGGGCCTCAAGGCCTGAACGGTAAAGCAGCAGAACAAGGTGGTGGCCCGGGCCTGATATGGTCCGATTCTGAATCTAGCAACACAGGTGGTTCTGGGCGCTCATTCCCTCTTGATTTAAGGCATGTCCTGCTGACAACTGCAGGCTAGCCCAGCAACAGTGCACGGTGTTGGGGGCCCTACCGAAAATAAGTGGGAAGTACTCTGCTCTTCCTGACGTGCAGTGGAGTGGCCACTTGGCAACCCGAAGGGATCCTACCAGACAGGCATCCTTGTCCCCATGTGGCGGGATTCTTTCTCCCACCTAGATGCACCAGGCGGCTCTAGCCTGGGGAATCTTCTTCTGCTCCCCCCAGGCAGCGCCATCAGGAACCTGGGAGCCCCAGTGGCCCCAGAGAAACTACGCAGATCCAAACAGCACTGTAAAGCTGCTAAACATTGCCACTGGACCTCATCCCACAAACACAGGCCAGGACTTGCATGCGAAACCTAAGTAGGGTGACTACCTGATAAAGATTAAAATAGGACCTAGCATCCCCTAACATAATAGCCAAACTACTCAGGATTCAGTAGAAAATACCAATCAGATGAGGAGTCAGAAAAGCAACATGTGAATGAGAAAAGACCATGAACTGGTGCTAACAGCAAGATAAATCAATGTTGGAATCATCCAAAAAAGATTTAAAGCAGCCATCATGAAACGCTTTTGATAATTAAAAAAATAACTTCTTGAATCAATGCAAATATAGGAACGGAAGTTACAACAAAAGAACCAAATGCAAAGTATATCCCTGAAAAGCACATTAACAGAAATGCTTTAGAAACCTCACCGAATGAGCTCAATCGCAAATGTAAATAGCAGGACCGAGTCACAAAGCTTCAGGGACCTGTGGGACTGTCACAAAAGATCCAACGTTTATGTCATCAAGTCTTAGAAACAAAGGAGAAAGAAGAGTTGAAAGAGTTTTTGAAGAAATAATAGCTAAAATTTCTCAAATCTGGTAAAAGACATAAACCAAAGGATTCAAGGAGCTGAAAAAGGCCCAAATAGCATAAACCCAAGAAAATCCACAGCAAGGCACATGATAATTAAACTTCGGAAAACTAAAGACAAAGAAACAAACTTGAAAGCAGCCAGAGAGAAACGCCTCATCACCTGCAGGGAAACACCAGCTCAGGCGACCGCGGGCTTCTCGCCTGTGGCTGGGAGGCCAGAGGAAGGAGCACAGGACTTTTTTCAACTGATAATGGAAAGAACTGTCAACTTCAAATTCAGTATCAGCAAAGCTATCCGTCGGGATTGAAGGGGTGGAAAGACATTCTCAGATGAAGAAAAACTGAGGTCCCGAACAGATTTATCCCTTGAAGAATGGTTAAAGGTAAACTGAAGTGAAAATAGCTGACGGAAGTGATGAGTGTAGGGTGGTCAAGAAAGGCCTTTTGGAGGAGGTGACATTCCAGCAGAGGCCTGGGAAAAGGGAGGGGGCAGAGTGAGGTGTATCCCGGGCAAAAACAATATTGACGACAGAAGCCTGAGACTGCAATGGGATCTGCGTGCTCAGGGAACAGAAAGGCCGCTCTGGCTGGGTGGGGGCCAGGAAGGGGAGAGTGGTGGCAGGAGGCTGGTTGGAAGAAAGTAGCCAAGGATACGACCTTGTGGGGGTTCAGAGCACTAGTAAAAAGTCCAGATTTTTTTCCTGCCTGTGACAGAACGTCTTCAGACGGTGCCAATAGGGGATTGAGAAAGGAATCCGTGCAATGTGGCTGCAGAGTCAGTGCTTTTTAAACACAGACCAGCGGTTCTCCGATACCACACATCCCCATCAGCCGGAGGGGTGGGCGGAACACACACGGCGGGCACCACCCCCAGAGTTTCTGATAAGGAATTTCTGATTCTGACCTGTGGTCAGAGAATTCGCATTTCAACTACAGTCCAAGGCGAAGCTGCTCCTGCTGGTTAGCTGACCTGAGAATCACTGCTCAATATAACCGACTTTCAGAGTGACTTCCCTTCAGTACCTGAGATAGGATAAAGAAGAGGGACTTTCAAAACTGCCAGAATAGTAGTGATGTTAAGAAACACTTACGTCATTTTTGCTAAGAAGAGTGAGACAAGAAGAGCAGAAAGAGAAAATTTTAACTTTTACCATCCAACATCTTCTATACAACGTATCAGGCCTGTGCATGTGCCATGTTCAAAATATTACAAACTTCATTCAAGAGAATGAAGTAGGCTGTGATATCCCCCATTTTTCAGAAAAGAAACAGATTAAGAAACGTTAAATCACTTATCCAAAGTTACAGAGCAGTCAGTACCTAACAAGGAAGAATTCAGGTTTGTCTACCCCTGTGTTCTCGCTCTACGTCATCCTGGAAACATGTCCTCTGAGGGCATTTGGAGAGACACTGTCAGAAAACAAACCTGGGCTGCCTGAGGAGGTGGGGATGCGAGGACAGGAGGGGCACTAGAAGACGCTGAATTAGCTTTACATCGAGGGAGGGGTTGGTGGAGGAAGAGCTGCTTCACCTTTCAACAGGCTTGGGTTTCCAGTGTCAAAGGGGCTCAAGTCTACATGAGAAGGTGCCACAGCAAACAGTCACATGGGCACGGGGAACAGGAGGGATGGAAGGAGGGAGGAAAGGGGTCCCGGGGTCCAGGCCCCTCGTCCCC